AAGCAATGGATGGATCTGTACAAAAAACATTACTCAGACCTCCAATAACTGTGTCTAAACTAAAAGAAAAAAGAAAAAAGTACTGGAAGGATTTCAGTCACTTGGGTATTCCCCAATGGAGTCTCACTGTTGAAGCGCAACATCCTCAGCTAATTCCAGAACAAATGACTCATCAGAAAAATCCTCCAAACCAAACTTTCCACAACACCACTGTCCACCCTGGCTCTGGTTTTACCAACCTTTCTCCCCATCTGATTTCACAGCTTGCACTACTAGAGCTCTCTCCTTTTTTCCTTGCCTTCCCCATTTTCCCCAGTAGATGCTTCTTCAACTGTAAAGGAAGAAGTACTGAATTAGGAAATAAAGTTTAGAACTCAATTTTGAAGTCCATCATTTCAACAAGGTTTAACACAGTTAACCTGTGGTTGATGCTAATACTAGCTTCTCACTGAATATTAAGCAATGTGTTAGGCTGTTTCCACAGCACTCAATATTCTGAGCTGAAAATATCCTCCTTCACTCAAATCTGAAAACCATGCATGCCAAGCTTTATTCAAAACACTGTACAATAACAATTAGAATAATATACTACTAAACATAAATCTTGTAAGGAAGGACTGCAGATTATCTTCTCCAGGTGCTCCTCTTGGGTTCTGCCTTCTCTATCATAGAGTAAACACCTAGCATCGTGTACACTGACAAAAAATGACCATAAAAACAAAGGTTGAGTATTCTCAAAATTCTTTGGAGAAGGCAAGAAATGTAATGAACTTCACACATCACAAAGTCATGTCACAAAGCACAATAATAAAACATCTGTATGCTTTGAAGGCAGCATAGGAATACCCTGGTGAAAACATTAATGGAAAGCTACTCCATCTGGGCTCAGCCTCCCATAATTTAATCCTGACTGTGTGATAACTGCATTTTTTTTTTTTTTTTTTTTTTTTTTACAGTAATTACATAATGTACACAATGACACCTCATCAGAATCTCCGGGTTTCACAAGAAAAAAAATTCTGAATAAAAAATGTCACTTTATCAGGAACTAAGATGAAAAGGAATCTGTCTTAACTATAAGCCATTCTCCATTACCTCCTTTAACTCCACAGGCAGGACAATGAAAAAAATTACAAACTGGAGTTCTGCAAAACACAACACTGGTTGTTCTTAATAAATAAATGCTTCTCTCTGTAATTTCATTGGTAGCTGTATTGTTTGCAAACTTGGTTTGGAAAACAGTGACTTGTCTTCCTAATATTGTATAGCCCATTGAACTATGTTCCATCAGCATATGTAGGACCCAATAGTTATTCCTCCATGGGCACTAGCTCATGAGGCCACGTCCCAGGAGAATAAAGTTGAATTAGAAGAAGAATGGAAATAAATTCAGAACAAGAATATGCAAAATAATTTGGAAATAAATTTATTTCCTGCCTGGCAAAGAACAAGCAAATATTTTGCAGGGGTTCTCAGAAGGATCTGAGGAAAGCACTTAGGCACCAAATTGACATTAAGAGATTCTACCATTCTAGAAGTTTCTGAACTGTCTGCTAAGCTTCTGAACGTCATTAATATTTGTTGGTCATTTTTTACTAGGGTACTGTTACAACACTGATTATTGTGACACAAAGGAACTGTCAGTTAGAAATGTATTTTGTGTGAACGTTTGAACTTGTTTAGCAAATTCCTCATAATCCATTTGGGAGTGCGGTGCCTCAAGATGTTCCACCAACTCTAAGCATTCTGTATATCCAAACATAATGAAAATGACCAGATCACTCTGACTGGCCTCAAGGCCAGAGAATAGGCCTACGTATCAGTATTTTTCTAATACAGACCTGGAAAAACCATACTGGAAACAAAAATCTGTGCAAGTATACGGTAGCTAAGCACTCCCTTCAAATAAACACCATTTAATTTTCCACTATTTTGAAGAAAGTCCCCATTGTTCTTATTGTGCTCATTAGTCTTCTGTGAGACAGAAACAGATTACACAGATTTACATAGTAGCAACTTTTGAGTTCAAGGCATTTGTTTGATTGCAAAAGGAAACAACAGCTGACCTAACTAACAAGAACAGAGTGAAATGCCATTACTTAGCAGCAGTTCCTGTCTTGGTAAACATACTGTACTCCTTGGCTTTCTTTTAATCACTGAATCACAAAATATTTGGAGTTGGAGTGTCATGTTCAACTCCCAGCTCCACACAGGACCATCCAAAATTGAAACCCTATGCATCAGAGCATTTTCCAAACGCTCCTTGAACTCCAGCACTGAGGGCAGTGTCTGGTACTTTGGGCAGCCTACTCCAGTGCCCAATCACCCTCTGGTGAAGAACCTTTTCTTGACTCCCACCCCGACACCTTGATCCTCCCCTCCACAGCTCCATGACACTCCTTTGGATCCTGTCACTGCCACCAGAGAGCAGAGATCAGCACTGCCCTCTGCTACCCTTGTGAAGAGCTGCAGCCACCATGAGGACCTTCAGCCTCCTCTGCTCTGGGCTGAACTGATGGCTCTCAGCCACTCCCAACACGTCTTGCCCTCTAGCTCTAGATCCTTCATAGTTTGATTAAATTAGCTTAAGTGCATCTTCTGCAACAACTGTTTAATGTCATTTTTGTAGATCAATATATTTTGATACACAATGAAGAAAAATATAAATTGTTTAAAATGCACCTTCAACATGCAATTTCTTCATTTTCAGTTCATTTCAGAGTTAAAAGACAGGAATGCATCAGAAAAGAAACACCACCATATATTCTGTTTTCGATTTTCTATTTATTATTTGAGCCTATTTCCATGTACATCATCGAATCTAGCAATATTAACCTTTAAATATGCTACTTATGAGCTCATAATTTTTCTGCCTTCATTTTTTCCTTCAACTTCTCTTTTGACATTCACTTTTTCCTCTTCTGTCCTTTTATTTTTTCCTTCTTACCTCACCCCTTGCTTTCTTTCTTATTCCTACAGAAATATAGTCATACCTCAGGTGAAACAAGTCAACTGTTAAATACGCTGTCATGCAGGTCCCTTCCAACCTAGATGATTCTGTGATTTATAGCATAAAGTACACATCTGCCAAATCTCGCACACAATATTAAGTTTATTTAGTTGATCTCAAACAATCCTACCATGGCATCCATGTCTACAGGACAGTGTGGTTCCTTGGTGCATATCTTATTCCAAGACCAGGAAGTAGCCTAACACCTTATATGCTGTCTGTGTAGCACAAGATAATGCAAAAAAGTTGTAGCAACCAAGTTGCGTACACTTTGCCTGTTCCAAGTAACACTACATTAGGAAAGCTTCTTTATTGCAGTAGAACGCTGCCCCAACACACAGTGCTACTCTTTTCCCTCTTCAGAAAGTAATACATTAAACCTACATTTCTCTGCAGTGCCAATGTAAGCCAAACTTCCTATCTGAGCAAGAGAGAAAGATAGATTGTATCTGTGCATGTATGCATGCAGAGACAGGAAGATACAGGAAAAAAAATGAGTAACTGGATCAAGCCAACTGCTGGGCTAGTATGCGACAATCCTGATTGCATGACAATCCTGCCAACTTCTATGAGGATAAAGCCTTGCTGACACAAAGTTAATTCTTAATTATGAGTTTTCCAGTACATAGAAAAATGATATAACGTTCTAGCAGCTCTGAGAGCTATTCATTTACCTGCTGTTTCTCACACACGGAATTCTAATAAATTGCAAATAGGTGGTTTTCAAGTAATGGCAAATCAAAATTGATTGGTCTTTCTTTTGTTTGCTTTAAATTACAGCGTACCCTTTTGCCTTCATTATTTTGAATTACACAAAGGAGAGAAAAAAATACAAGTGCTTTGAATTGCAATTTTACACATACAACTAGATGGATGGGCAAGTTGCAGTACAAGTAAAAGCACTCTTTTTCAATTCAATACATAGCAAGATGTAAATGATAAAATTAATTAGATATAAATTTGTTCTTCAACAATGGGCTGCTGATTACAAATAAGCGCAACCATTTATTCAGATACACTCAAAAGGAAAATCTGAAAACAAAAAAAACAAAAAAAAAAAAATCAAATTCTATTACTGCTATCACCATCACACCAAATTCACCAAGACTAAGTAAAGGTTCTTAACTGCCTCCTAATTAATCTGCTTTGATGGTTAAAAAATAAAAAACAACAATCAAAGTGACCTTTGGAGTTTCCCCTCCCCCATTAGTGGGGAAGTTATGCTACCATCATTGTAAATCACTAAACCACTTCTTTCAAATTCATATCTGCTCCCTCAGCTGATGCCACAGATCCCAGCATAAGTCAAAAGTATTAAAGTGGAAACCTCTCCTGCTTGGAATTAAAGAATTAAAAGCTGCTAAACAATTCCTACCAGTCATAGGACGTTAGTGCCCAACTGCATCAAACTTTCATTGAAAACGACCTTCCCCTTTCACAGCCAGAGTGAATTTATGGAAATATACAGTTTCAAAATGCTCAAATATTAATGCTTTTTACTCAAGGGTTTTCAAACTGGGATGTCCAATGATCTTTGTGAAACAGCTAAGAAGAAAAAAATAAAGTCATAAAAGGAGACTTTTCTTCTTGAGTTCTCTGCCTTTAAACTAGTGGCAGTGAGAATAACTTACACTATGTCATCCATCTCTGGTGATTTCTAAGATCTGCTTGGTTAGAGCTTGTATCTGAAGTGGAAACAATCAAATCCTCATTCCTCAGAATCAGTAAGAGTATCATTGTGAAGCTCAGTGGGAGGAATGAAACAAATGTAGGAAAGAAATGCCCTTTGATTCTACTTAAATTAATTGGAGGAAAATAGAAAGAATAATTGAGTACAACTCCCGTGGGATACAAATAATAAGATGTTTTTCAGAATGGACACCACAGAGTGAAGCGACAACTGCTTAACATTCCTCCTAACAACTCCCAGTGACTGTGCACAGAAAAGCAGTTCACAGCTTCATTTCCCACCAGTCTGCTTTGGCATTACCTTCCCCAAACTCTTTGCTGGATCTCACTGAAGATGACAAGATCCTCAGGTGCTCAGTTTTGGTTAGGTGGCTCTGCGCTTCTTTGGCACACTTTTTCAGCTACAACAAACCTTCCTAGCATGAAACAGGAAAAAATAGATACGATGACTTAAAGGAAAATTATCCTCCCTTTTCACATCTTCTGCTTATTGAATTATTTTCAAAAAGAACCAAATGCTCTTTGTAATATTTCTATCAAAAGATCAAAATAAGAATACTGAGTGATACAAACACACTGTGTCAGTACTGTAGATGAAAGGTTACAAGCAGCTTTGTTATGGGAAAAAAAAAAAAAAAAACATTTGATTTTTAAGGAAAAGTAGCCAAGCAAAAACACAAAGTTTAAAACCACTGATCTTACAATAAAGTTCTGGTAGGATAATGTAATTACATCTATACGAGAAGACCAGCCAGTATAGCCTGAATATTTCAGTACTGTGTTCAGCCATCAAGTCTACCTTATCTGCTCCTGCTGGGGTACACGGAGATGAGAAGAGACTACAAATATAGTGACAGTGCAAGTACTGAACCGTGTGTCAAATAGAAGCTACTAGGAGTGGAACAGAAGAACAAAATTTCTGTACAGTCCCAAGAAGGAAATTGAGAACAATGCTTATTCTCACCAACTCCACAAAATGAAGACCACTAAAATAGTGGGTAGGGTAACAGCTGTGCCAAACATCTGTTCAGCAGTTTCATTCACTAGCACTGTCAGCATTTCACCTCTCCATGCAATCTACAATCCACTTATTAAGAACCTAATTACCCATAGATTGTGTGGGCAATGTGTTAGTAAGGGAAAAAAGCTGAAATTTCTCCTTACTTAATTCTTATTTTAAAACAAAAGCACTAACTCAATGCCTTCCATTTCTAGTGGACCAAGAATGTGCGTATGTTTTAAAAGAAAGAGATATGTATGAACCTTCTAAGAAGGTTCTAAGAATTATTACATTATTGATTACTATTCATTACTACTTGAGCAACATAAGGCAGGCGCAGAGCAGGAAGCAGTACAAAGACTCTGCTGGAAAACACACACCAGGAAGAACCTCCCTGAATCCTCACAGCAATGGCATATTTGGGATATCTTCCCACATCCATCAGATTGCAGCATCACAAATCTTAACTACAAGGTTTCTGCAGAACAGATTCAAGTCCTTTTAAAGGCTTCTGTGTACAATGGTAGCATAAAGATTATCTAATTGGATTTTCTATCTGGCCTTTAGCTGCCTTTCTACGAGTGGTCAGGTTCTCCTTACATTCTCTTTGCCAGCCGCATGCCAGCATCTGAAACATCTTACAGGATCTAAACTGGGACAAGATGTCCATGCCTTCACAAACAAATCCTAGTTTCAGTGTCTGTTCCTGCACGCTGAAAAGTGATTTGCAATTTTCTCTTTCTTCCAACACCACGAGATCAAACACCTGTAGGCAAAAGTAATTTATCTGTTTAAAAAAAGTATAATGACACCAAGTCAAGTGTAGACATCATCACTACCTAAGATATCAAGCTCTTATTTCCACTACAGCTCTACTGCTATCGTAGACAAGACTGACAGCATTCTTAAAAAAAAAAAAAAAATAGGAAGCTATTCATGACAGCAACTCATAGGTTTTATACTTCTTATATCATACCTTTATCTGGTTTCAATGATTCTACTCAAAGTCTTCACAGATCTTCAGCATTTCAGATTTTTGGCTCCTAAAATATACTGAACAAACTATGAAAACAGTCTCCTCCTGCTGTTTCCTACATACATTCTAGTCCTTAACTAATTTTCACTTTTTTTCCCCCCTTTTCATTCCCGGAAAGGCATGAGTCAATCGAGACCATATAACCCACAAGATGTGGCTGAGGTGAATACTTGTGTATAGCATTGGTGTTTTGTGTTACACGCCTAGTATTCAAGAAAATGGAAGAAGAACCTATCACAATACAGCTTGATCCAGGAAAGGTCCAGTAATGCTGCTAAACCAGTGAACAGTTTCAATGGAGTTACCAATAGAGTTACTAGCCTATTGTTCTAAGCAAAGAACTTAAACCACCAGTAATCATTAGAGATGGATCTTGGTACTACTCACCTGTTTGAGGGTCAGCATACATTGCAGTGCTTCAAGAACAGAGCTCACTCAGTCCTTACTTTACAGGATTAAATTCAGACAGCCCACCACTTATAATCTGATTACAGAGCTTCCATAAAAATGAATTCTGCTGCAATTCCAGTGAGACTGTATTGGGTTTCTGTACATGAAACTGTTTCTATACATGGAATAAAATGATTCTAGTGTGCTGAACTCCTGCATCATTATTCCTTTTCCAGCTTTCGTTTGGATCACTGTTGCAAATCAAACGAGCAACAAACTTGCTATGAAAATAAAAATCATATATGATTTTGTTTCTTAAACTGCTACTTACCTACCACACATCTTTTCCCATATCTCCAATTACTGTCAAAAAAAACTGTCTAAGTTATCTTCTAGCAAGTATTTTGCTAGAAGAACATTAAAATGTTCCAAACTCAAAATACCTTTTGGCTTCGTTGCTAAATAATTCAAATTACTTTCAGCAGAAATATTTTCAGGTTTTCTTTGTACCTTCTACAAAGGAGTACCAAAAAAAAAAAAAAAAAAAAAAAAAAAACCAACAACAACCCACAATTAATGGAAGAAACGCACTGTTTGCTTCTATCTGGGTACTCACTCGGTTTCCCTCACAAATGGAAAGTACCATCTAGCAGACGAAGAATAACAGAGCAGTTGCCAGAGTACTGACATTGAAACAGGGTGAGCCAGAGGCTACATCAGCTTTAGTGGCAGTACTGACTTAAGTGATACAGCCCTCAGTCCCATAAGCACTATAAGTACAGCGTCCACCACATGACCACAGGTTATTTTGAAGCTTATATTATACAAAACGACACACTAGAAGAATACTTTTGTCTGAATGCTCTTGTCTTCAAAGAGGAAAAGCAGTTTTATTTTTTATAAGCTCTGTATGAAGCAGACAGCAGTGGTTAATGGCAATCAGTCCCAGGTGTCAATGGACATCACTCCTGCAACCTCAGCTGCGCGCCTGCTGAATACAGCGACAATACAACAATGGTTGTGGCAATGGGACATCAGGAGAGCCCATTCCGCACCCCCAAGTTGCTCCTGACCACTCTGCTTCAAAGTCTGCTCCAAAGCGGTTTCTGGCTGCCCGAGGAGAGATTTATTCGAGCAGCGAGGCGTGCTCCCACCGAGGGAAGCAGTGCAACCCCCCTACTGTCCCCGCGCTTCACCCTTTCAGCACTCAGCACACCACCATTTTTCCTCAAACAAAGCTGAAGATAATCCGAACTTGGGCGGCAATAAAAGCGAACGGGGAACTTCTCGGGGCGGGGAAGGCAGCGGTGCGAAGCCCTGAGGCAGCTACCGAGGCCGGAGAGCTGCGGGCGGTGGCAGCGCGCAAAGTATTCCGGAACCGAAGCAGACAAAAGAGGGTGTAGCAGCTGCACGGGAGCGGCAGACCCGGCGTGCCGCCGGCTCCGCGCGGGAGGAACAAAGTCTATTTCGGGGAGAAAAAAAAAAGAACAAAAAATAAAAAAATCCCCCTCCTCCCTTGTGTGCCTCTCCTCCCCCTCCTGCTTGACCCCTCGCCACCCAGGGCTCCAGGAGCGCCGCCAGCCCACCCAGCGCCGGAGCTCAGCCGGGAGCGATCTCCCCGCGGAGGCACTGCAAGTTCGGGGACGCGGAGCACCCCTCACACCCATCAGCGCTTACCTGCGGGGAGGAGCGGGGCGTCCGCCGCTCTCACGGCGGGGAGCGCTGCGGGGCTGCGCGGCGCGGGGAGGAGGACATGGGTCCGCTCCGGTGAAGCGGCGGCTGGCTCAGGCGGAGGCTCCTCTCGCCCGTCCCCATCCGCGGCGAGGCTCGGGCGGAGGCAGGCGGACGGCGGGGCGGTCACTGCCGCCCGGAGAAGGACGCCCGCCGACCGGGGGCTGCGCGCCCCCCCTCCGCCGCCGCGCGGACAGCCGGAGGCGGCCGCCCGCTGCTCGCCCCGCGGCGATGGGCGGGTGCCATAGCAGCGGGGCCGGGGACGTGGGAGGGCGGCAGCCACAAGAAACTTTGCCGGCCCCGTGGAAAGGCGCTTTGCCGCCTCACGCCGGTCCCAGCAGCAAAGTTTCACTCCCTGAGCCGCTGGCTGCGGATCAGACACCTTGGGGACGACCCCTCCAATCTCCCGCCGCTCCTCACGGAACGAGGAGGAGGGAGAAAGGGGCAGGCAGCACGCGGCGGGACGGCACAGAGGCTGGGGCAGAACTTTCCTTCTCCTCTCAGAAGGACGCAGCCACCCCAAAGAGCAGCGCTTCCTCCTCCCAGTGCCTCTCTGCCCCCCGCCCTGCCGGGTGCGAGCTTTGTAGGGCGTCCGGTTCCGCCCCAGCGGGCTGCGGGGCCGCGGCCGCGAGGGAGGAGCCGCAGGGCGGGGGCTCGGAAGTCGGGGCCGGGAGGTTCGCCGTGCTCGGGTGGGTGGGGGGTCAGAGCTGAGTGATTCACTGCGGTGGGTTTCGCCTCAGAGCTCAGGGACGACAACACTTCTGTGATTCAGCTCTTTTCTTTTTTTTCTTTTTTTTTTTTTCTTTTTTTCTTTTTCTTTTCTTTTTTTTTCTTTTTTTTTTCTTTTTTTCTTTTTTTTTTTCTGCTTATTTGTTGTTGTCCACTCACTCCTGGTGTCCAGCCCGGGACAGTTTGGCTACCGGCTGCTCGCATCTCCCGGCCACGCGAGATACAGCCAATGGATGGGATCGGCGAGGGGATAACTCCTACTTGCACGGGATTTTACCCAGCGTGTACATCGGGCATATCTCGTGGGGAAAAAAAAAAAAAAACAAGAAGAAAAAAAAAACTGCACCTGTTTAGAGTCGGTAGCTGGTTTTATTTGATTGTCAAAAATTGTCTGGACCTGAAAGTTGCCGTTGCTTTTCATACCGTTATTCTACTTAATGCTTCTCCTAAAAAGACAGAAAGATGTTGAACTTGGAATCTGCATATCTAAGTGTACCTGAGGCTTGAGATGGCAGCGGCCTGGGTGCTCCTGACCACCATGCAGTGAGATCTCACACCTTGAGTGCAGAGAGTGCTGGGTTCTCAGAGCTCACATTGTGATGACTGCACCCCTGCCTAATGGCTGCGTCAAAGACAGCTGTCACCCAGCCCTAGCAGGACTAGCAAAGGGCAGAGAAACATTCAGCAGAAGTAGGAAGTATCAAATTTCCAGCTTCAGCATTTTTTTATTTGAGGAGGAAAGAACAGCTTACAAGTGTCAGGTTTCTGCCTGTTTGCTCAGATGTTACCAGACCTGTACTTTGGCTTGCCCATTGCAGAGCAATTGTGTTTGATGCCAGCAAGGGAGGGGACATCCTGCAGACAGAGGTTCTCTGACACCACTGCACACGCCTGGGGGTGAGGGAAAGGATGATGCTTGTGCACACCAGATCTCTTTCAAGAGTCAGTGTCTCTGCATAGATTCTTTTTTTTTTTTTTTTTTTTTTTCCCACTAGAATTTATGGGAAATGCCTCAGAGGTAAAGGTGTGGAAACTTCACTCTCCTATTCTACCAATAGTTCACGACATCTGGATTAAGGGCATGATGTGAGCCAGCACCAGCTCCACCACTGTCTCCTGGAAATGCTGGGGGTGGTAATGCTGCGAGGAAAGATTTCTGCTCAGTTCTTGCTCTGTCTTTGTTTCTGCCAGATCTCTTTTTTTTTTTCCAACCCCAGACCAAGTATGGTATCACCACATCATCTCCATTTGTATTTTCCTGCCACAAGATGCTCCTCAGGTCCTTTGGAAGTGTTTAGATGATTTACACTCTCAAACAGCCCCTCTCCACAAAAAGTAAAAATTAACGAGAGTTCAGAGGCAGCAAGGTTGTGAGGACAGAGTAGTGAGCTAGGGGATAGGTGTCAGCAATGCTACGAGGTGGGGAGCATCTCTGTGTCAGATGGAGGTGGGTTAGACCCTTGTGTGGTACAAGCACAAAGCCTATGTTCCCACTGAACCACAAAGTCATGATTCTTCTACATTACCCATGGGTTATATGTATGAAAATAAGGTAGTTGTGATTTTAAAATGTGAGCAATATGTTTTGTGGGAGCTTGCCGTGGATGATGGCACAGCAAGTTCTGCCCATCCTAGTGACTGGGATTTGACTTGTACAGCTTTGCTTCTTATCTGGTACATTTCAGTTCTTGCCTATTCCTTTTCCTACTTACAGCAGTTTGATATGATCTGAAGACCATTGATTTAAGGGATTTACTCTCGATATGCAATGGAAAAGGAAGAAGAGAATAAGGCTCTTCAGATCCTAGACATCTGCAAATCTCTGGAGTCAGTCAGTGTCAAAACCAATATTCCAGGCTTTAAAAGTCAACATGGATATTGCTCATCCCAGTAAAACAAACATGTTAATGCATTAATTATGATGGTGGTTGCTTCTGCGATTATAGAAAGAATCAGTAATTAACCTCAAGAGTGAGATCCTCCCTTTTAATTCACTTAAAGGCATGGAGTACTTCTGTTTGAAAAGTGGTATGTTAGCAGCATT